ATTATCTAAGTAATACATGGTCCTGTTTTCATAGAAGCAACCTTACTGGTGCATACTAAAAGGAGACCTAGCCCATATGCTTCTTTTCACTGTATTAAAGTCTCTTTTTGTACTTTTTTACTTGCGGGCTTTTCAGCTCACAGTTGTTGTTTTTTGATGTTTATGGCATTACATTTTATGACACACATGGCCCGGCCCAACCAGGTCTCATTTATGTCAGATCCGACCCTCATAGCAAATGAGTTCAACACCCCCATAATACAGGGCAGGTGTATTCGCAACCACTGTGAATCAATGGTGGTATACTGGTTTTCCCTCAACAAACATATAAAAAGTGGAATGACATATCCATTTCTTGAACCCATGGACAATTCCAGAAGTGTGCGCATACTCAGTTAAAACTGGAAATATGTCGGTCACACAGGAGTCTTTGCTATGTGAAACACCTGTGTATCACCAGTATACATGGAATCAACCCCTACAGATGATTAGAATTGTAAAGAATCACATGGAATATTTTTGTTCTGCACACAAGAGCCTTTAACACCTGGAAGGAGTACAGGGTGGAATTTGTCAGTTTTACTTAAAACTAAGAAGATTTCCCAATTTCAGAGCATTTGATTTCCCTGCTGTTCAATTTCCTTTTTGCGGTAGGAGGTCTAGCGCATGAGAAATTCCACCACATCGTTACTATCGAGAGCACTACACGTCTTAAAACTGCAAGTTCCAGAACTTTTGTTCTGCTTGGCTGACTGCTTGAGTGAGAAGCACAATTCATAATGTGCCCAAACTCTCAGTTTTTGTTCATTTCTGTATTTTTTCCTGTATTTTTTTAAAAAGTAAAAACTGAAGCTTTGCACTAATATTTCCAGAAACTCTCAAAACTTGCCTGATTTACTTACTGCTAGAGGTGTTTATTTTGCCATCTGAACACATTCTACAAAACAAAGGATATACATTAGTGAAATAGATCAGTCTGAGTATTGCAACTTAATTTAGGAACCCCATTTCTGAAACTAGAAATGATGACCTTCCAGTTGAGATTCAGTTTCCTAATACACTCTGACTTCAGAGATCCTCAGTTCCCAAGTACATAAGAACATAAGAGAAGCCATTGTTGGATCAGGCCAAAGGCCCGTCCAATCTGTCACACAGTGGCCAGGTGCCATCAGGAGGTCCCGCAGTGGGGCTAGGACACCAGAAGCCCTCCCACTGTTGTACCAGTGGACCATTTAGCAATTACACACAAATATACATACAATGGGCCTTTCTCTCTCTCCTTCTATGGAACATGTGAAACAGGCCAATTGGAAACTAATAGCAAATGTTTAAAACGTCGAGGAAGCTGTTTATTATTTAAAACATTCATTAGCCGCCTTTCTACTTTGTGGAACTCAAGGCGGCTTATAATTCAAATAAAAGGATTATTTTAAAAGTACGTTTTGAGTATGAAGTAAACAAATCAATGATCATGTACAGAACTTAGTCTGTGGTTTTCAGTAACAGTCTTCCTGTGACAGGAATTTTCTTTATACTTTGCCTTTTGATCTGTTTTGCTTCAACCCAGTCACATTATGTCTGTTTAATAAATCTAAAATCAAATATGTTGTTCCCATTTTTTTAAATACACACAAAGTCTTCTTTTTTCACTACTAAAGTTTTGCTTTGGAAAGAGGGGAGGGGATTTCCTGACCTCTCCTACTCCCTTGTTCCTTCCTTTCACACTGATCTTAAACAGATTGCTTCAGAAAAGGATAAGAAGGAATTGTATACACACCACTCGGCTACATGTACAGGGTTGCAGGTCCAGTGGGAATTGAATGGGGACTAGCAGCTCAAGGATCACGAAAACCCAGAGGGTTGATGTCATTAATCCTCTCTGACTCATAAGACAGAATCTAGCAGATAAACACAGCAGGAGGAGGGTGATCTTTCCCAAAGGGTTAATGCTGCAATTTTCACGAAAGCTTGCAGGAACTAGTTTTGCTGCTCACTGGGAGGAATGTTTGCTTTAGCGCAGGTTCTCTAGCAATGATGAATGTTGTGGTCATTTCCTCTTTCTCTGCAACACCGTACGATGGGAAAATGCATAGATTTGGAATCATAGAATCATAGAGTTGGAAGGGATCTCTAGGGACATCTAGTCCAGCCCCCTGCACAATGCAGGAAATTCACAAATACTTCACCCCCACATGCCCAGAAGATGGTTAAAAAAATCCAAAAACCCTCCAGGATTCTTCGCCACACTGACCTGGAGAAAATTGTAAGAAAGCACCACAAGAACTAAGCACCGAGGCAAGCCTTCCTGCCCTACCTCTCATGATCTGCCTAAGTTCACACAATCAGCATTTCTGTCAGACGGCCATCTAGCCTCTGCTTAAACACTTCCAAAGAAGGAGAGCCCACCACCTCCTGAGGAAGCCTGTTCCACTGAGGAACCACTCTGTCAGGAAATTCTTCCCAATGTTAAGCCAAAAACTCTTTTGCTTTTATTTGAACCAATTAGTCCTGGTCCGACCTTCTGGGGCAACAGAAAACAACTCTGCACTATCCTCTATATGACAGCCCTTCAAATACTTGAAGATGGTTATCATACCTCCTCTCAGTCGTCTCTTCTCCAGGCTAAACATACCCAGTTCCTTCAACCTTTCCTCATAGGACTTGTTCTCCAGACCTTTCACCATCTTTGGCCCTGTTCATACGAGGCATTTTGGGCCGGGAGCGGGACGGAACGGGGGCGGAGCAAACGGGCGCGATCCCACGGCAACATCTGGGAATCGTTGCCTGCCCGTCCCCGATCCGTCCCTCCTGCCAAAAACCCGCACTAAAAAAGAACCACCTACCTAGGTGGTTCTTCCGAGTAGAGCGCCTCAATCCGGGCCGTGGGATCGGCCAGCGCGTCCTTGCGCCGGCACATCCCGGCCTCCGACCGTACTGCGCATGCCCGAGCATGCACAGTTCGGCAGCCTCCCCCTCCCATCCGACTCTTCCTCCCCGGCATCTGATCGTGCCGGGGAGCGCCGTGCCGCGGCTCAGGGGATCCGTGGGATCCCGCCGCGGCGTTTCAACTTTGGTGCGGCTGTGTTTTCCCTGCCGTGTGGCAGGGGCCTTCGTTGCCCTCCTCTGGACACGTTCTAGGTTGTCTATATCCTTCTTAAATTGTGGTGCACAAACTTGAACACAATACTCTGCTTCTTTATTAGGGAGGGGAAAGCTAGTATGCAGCTGAATCTTGCTTGAGTAGTGGTTTAGTCTAGAGAAATTTTGGGTTTCTTCTGATATTATACCTCTAGGATGTAAAGTGGCTCTAGAACACTTGCTGTTATTCCTTCCATGGCTGCTGTGGTATGAAATCGGGTCAACAGTTGACCCTTCCCTATGATATGTGTAGCGGATGCCCAGCTAGATGCTTTTCATGAGCACTGCAGGTGGAACCAAGACTTGTTTTGGTTCTTCATAGGAAAATTCAGTGATGGCCAACCTTTTCAGCATGTGTGCTGCTAGTCAAATTCAGAATACAAGAATATGATACTACAGCACATTCAGCAATACACTTGAGCATATGAAGCTGCTTTATACTGAACCAGACCATTGGTCTGTCTCAGTTGGTACTGTCTACTCTAACTGGCAGTGAGTCTCCAGGGTCTCAGGTAGAGGCCTTTCATCTCATGAGATCCTTACAAATGGAGGTGCCAGAGATTGAAGCTGGGACCACCTGTGTCCAAGGCAGATGCTCCATCACTGAGTTTAGCCCCCTTCCCATGCCTCAGTGTAGCTCTAGCTATTATACTAAGTCATATAGGAGTATAGCAGGCTGGCATGCAGACCTAACTCTATGCCCAAGCTTTCAGACCCTTGTACTCCTTCCCGGGGCTGCTGGCAAACTCTCACTGCATAGGCCACTGGAATATGCTCTTGAATAAGCACATTTCATCAGGAATGAGTGAACTCATACAATGGCATATGAAACATTTGTGGAACAATTACTGCCATTGTTGAGAAACAGCTCCTCTTACATTCTGTTAGGCTGCAATCACACACAAAATAATCCACTTTCAGTGCACTTTCCAACTGGATTTTACTGTGTGAATTGGCAAAATCCATTTGGAAAGTGGATTGAAAGTGGATTATTTAGTGTGTGTGACTGCAGCCTGAATCAGGTTTTAGTCCCATTATCCATTAACATGGATAATGTTAATGAATTTCAGCTAATGAATTTCAGAAAAACTATTGGAGCAATCCCCCTTGTCTTCAGGAAGAAAAGCATGTGTTTTGTGTGCTACTTGATTGCCACTTATTCAGAGATTGGCAGGGCTTGAACTTGGATTTTCCCTTGCACCAACCAATTTCTAGCAAGCTGCAATGAATCAAGCAATCCTTTGGTGTTCAAATTAGACTTATAAAAGTCTATCTCTCTCATCTTTAATCGTGCTTTCTCTCCCTGGGGGGGAGGTGGTAGTGAAAAGCCAGATGTGATATACTTAAGTCAACATTAAAGATATTATTAAGAGACAGGGACACAAAGAGAAAAAACCCATACAGACTTGGCAAAGTAATGCTACAGACAGATTTTTGCCATATTAAATCTCAATGGACTCTAGTGCAATATCAGTGACCCCTGAGCTATTGTATGGGAATGGGTTTAAAATCAACATCCTATAAGAACAAAGCCACATGGGTCAAGGGAAGACAGGAAGCCAATCATTACAGCCTCTGACTGTCTCTAATTTTTTTTTTTTAAGTACTACAGTGAAAGTTTCTGATTGTGTAATTCCATGCTTGTTTAACCTCTAAAGAAAGAGGCAAGATCTGACTGGGAAACATCCAGATCATATAACGGAGTTGTCAGATCCCAATGAGAAGCTGAAATGTCTTTTAACATAAACATCCCTGAAAGTTATTCAGTGTGGATGACATTTATACTATACATCCAGAGCATGGTTGACTAGGAGTCTTTTCACATGTTGGCTGCAGAACAGTCTAGTCCATTTGTTTCTAAAATGGATTATGTGACGTGCAATGTCAGTACAAAGGAAGACAGCCGCATGGCAGAGAGTGAGTGAGTGGTTAAGCTTATTCTGCAAAAACAGAATGAATAGAAACAGCTGCCAAATTACTACCCAGATCTTGCTTATTTTATACCTGATTACTTGCCTTCCCAAATAATCCACTCATTTAAAGCAGCCAACAATACAAAGCATAAAACATAGAAAGGGTACTGAGTAAAAAGAAAAAGAAAAAAGAGCTCAACAACAACAACAACAAAAAGAACAAAATTTCTGGAGGTTGGAGCTGAAGCAGACTCCCCCACTCCCAACTTTGCAACCTTTTTCGCCTATATTGAAAAAAGAGCCCGAGGTTCAATCATTTTGAGGAGGGATTCTGAAAAGGGCTACAAAATCTCCCTCATTTTTACTTAGGAGAATGTGGCAGCAGTAGCCACAGCAGCAGTCGTGCTCCCATTCCTTTCAAGCCCAACATGCATTGTCTCTCCCTGCCCATCTACGCGTGTTTGTAGGGAGCACCGTTCTCTCTCTTAACTGGCTATACTTGCTCTCAGTGCCATCATAATGCCAAAGCTGATTGGATGGAATAACATGGAAAAAGGAGACAAGAAGAAAAAGAAGGCAAAAAAAAATGACAGTGGGCAAACAAGGTGCAAAAGAGTAATTTAGTGGGAATATTTTGCCCTTCCAAAAGCTCCCCTATCATGTCGGAAACGTTTGCTTGCTAATATTCAGTCCAGCTCTAGTTTTCACTTGTAGCCATATGGTGGAGGAGTGGTCCTAGGCAATTGATGACATGGTCAGTAAAACCCCACTTTTCTGCTTTGCTTGCCCTGCTTTTTCTGGTTGCCTTGCCACCATTACCAGGGTTGCACAAACACAGTGCTTTCACAAAGGTTAGAATTATACAGTTAGTAGTTCAGGGGAAGGAGCGAGGCTGTAGGTTTAGGTCTCACCTCCCCCTTTCCCATCAAGTATTGATTGAATGCAATTTAGCCTTTCTTTTCTGCTTGAAACTCTGCTGTGTTCTGCCTCAGGCAGCAAGATGGACGACTGACACAGAAAAGAGAGACTGGCCCAATGTCACCCAGTGAGCATGACAAAGTTGAGGTTTGAAACCAGGCCTCTCCAGTCTGCCAGACTAACCACTATGTCATCAGTGGCTCTTCAGCTTCCAGATGATTGGCAGAAGAGCAAAGACTTGGCAGTATTACAGGCTGTGATTGGAAGGGGCCAATGCCAAGATTCTCTGGATTGTGAAAAGGACTCTAGCTTGGAGGAGCACTGGTGAAACTCTCACCTTTACGGATCCAGCAGTTACTGGGGCAAAAATATCCTCAGAAATAATCTTAGTAATTTAGTGATGCAGGGAGTCAAATAATAAGAAGAGAAGAAGAGTTGGTTTTTCATACCCTGCTTTTCTCCACCCCAAGGAGTCTCAGAGTGGCTTACAATTGCATTCCCTTCCTCTTCCCACAACAGGCAGCTTGTGAGGTACGTGGGGCTGAGAGAGTACTGAGAGAACTGTGACTGGCCCAGGGTTCTCCAGATTAGATTCTTCCGCTCTTAACCATTACACCACTGTTCCTTCAACAGTCACAAAATCTACTACTGACTGATCTGACTTTTTGAAATCCAAATTTGAACCCCATGAAAATCCTGATATTTTTCTTCCTTTTCCGACTGCCCAGCACTCTAAGCTTCCAAACTGAATCTGGTTAAGGAACATTAACAGAACACAAGAAAGGAGAAACCTCTCAGCAGCAGGTCCCTCCCCACAGCCAACGAAAATACAGTAATATACATTTATTCAACAATATGATCACTGTTTCTTTAGGGCAAAACAGGCGCAAGCCACAGTTAACTGGCAGTGATTATTAGCAGGGTACTATGTACAATGGAGCTGCGGTGGCTCAAGTGGTTAAGACGCTGAACTGCAGGATGTGGAAGGTCAGTAGTTCAGCACTTTGAGACCCGGGTGCCACATGATGGAGTGAGCTCCCATCTCTAGTTCCAGCTCCTGCCAACCTAGCAGTTTGAAAGCAAGAAATTGCAAGTAGATAAATAGGTACCACTTCGGTGGGAAGGTAACAGCATTCTGTGCGCCTTGGTGTTTAGTCATGCCAGCCACATGACCACGGAAACGTCTTCGGACAGCGCTGGCTCTTCGGCTTTGAAACGGAGATGAGCACCGCAACCCTAGAGTCGGATTTGACTGGCTTTTGATCAAGGGAACCTTTACCTTTATGTACAATAATACAGTATGTATCATCAGTGCTTATTACGTCTGATTTGTTATCCCAGACAAAATTTTCTAACCCTTTAGCAGAGCTGCTAACAAATAGCTCACCATATATACTATCTATCTGCAATGAAGAAAAAATATATTCTCACCAAGGCTTCCAGTAAAATATTTCTTGCTAGTCAGATCTGCAACATGACAAGTTCCAGGTTGTAGCCTAAACACAGTGAATGCTTGAGAGTAGGGGTGTGCAACAACAACAAAATTTGGCCCATTCGGATTCGGCCGAATTGGGCAGAATCAATTTCAGCTGGCAGTAAGACTCCCGCATGTTAGTTTCGTCATTACGGCCAGCCGAATGTCAATTTCAGCCCCATTATATCCTACTAGCAGTAAAGCCCGTTGTGGAAATAAATACAACGAGATCTAGAAAGAGGCTCTGGGGGAGTGCTCTGGCTTTGGGCAAACAGTGTCATTTTGCTGTGGTGACCTCAGCAGGGTATAATGACAGAGTCCATGGTTTTCTCCAGAGGAACTGATCTCTGCTCGCTGAAGAGTAGTTGTAATTTTGAGTGATCTGTAGCCCTCACCTGGAGATTGGCAACAATTGTTACCCAGGATGAAATGGCTGGTTTGGAGGGTGGAGTCTATGGCATTCTACCTGTCTGAGGTCCCACCCCTCCGCAAACCCCACCCTCTCCAGGCTCCACCCCTCAAATCCCCAGGAATTTGCCAGCCTGGAGTTGGCAACCCCATCTCCTTCCCAGCTAACCATCAACCTACCATTATCTGCCCCTTTGACTTCAGCTGACTTCCGCCCTCCCTTCTGCAGAGCAATTGTAATTTTGAGTGGTCTCCAGCCCTCACCTGGAGATTGGCAACAATGGTTCCCCATGAGGGACTGAGTGGTTTGGAGGGTGGAGTCTATGGCATTGTACCTGTCTGAGGTCCCACCCCTCCTCAAACCTCACCCTCTTCAGGCTCCATCCCTCAAATCTCCAGGAATTTCCCATCGGGAGTTGGCAACCCTATCAGGATTGGCCCCAATATGTTTTCTCCCAAAGGCCAAAGTAGGTGACTGGACCAAACTAAGTTGCCTACCATCAGGCACTGAGGGGAAAGTAGGGGTGGCTGGTTTAAGGAGGGAAATACCTGGAGTTTTGGGGGGTGGATTCTGGAGAGGGCAGCATGGGGGGGGGCGGAAGGACTCAGCAGGTATAATGTCATAGGGTCTACCCTCCAAAGCATCCATTTTCTTCAGGGGAACTGATCTCTGTCATCTGGAGATCAATTGTAGCAGTGGAAGATCTCCAGTTCCCACCTGGAGATTGGCAACCCTATG